ATATTTTATTTTCTTCCGGTTTTCACATATGTGATAGAGTTCAGCATTCTGAAGAACTTTGTCATTTGGTATAATATCAAAATCGGCTTCTGAGAGGCCGTAGAGGTTTGTCTCTGATAATCCCGTGTACTTCAGTGGAGTGTCTCTATTTGCCCCCAAAGCATAAAAAAGGAAAACAGAAAATTTCTAGTGCTGCTGATTATTAGCTTACTGAGTTTAAATGATAATGAACTCAAAACTATATGGTAGAGAGAGGAAGGTCCGGGCTATAAAATGAGGTATTTTTGAACTAATTATCTTCTAAGCTTAATTCACCAGCAATTGTACATTAAAACTCATGTATTTGAATGGAGTGTCTCTATTTACCCCAAGCGCACAAGTGAAGTGTCTCTAACTAACCCCGTACGGGGTAATCAGAGATACTCTGATGGAGCTCTTCGCATTTTGGATCTGGCTCAAAATTGGCCGAAGATTTTTACAGGAGCGTGCAGCAAAACGTTCGGTCTACCACCGTGTTCAATAGCAACTTTAACCGACCAAAAACGGCCAAGAAACAGCAGAAAAAAAATGACAATTTCAAAGAGTGTCTCAAATTACTCCGAAGTACTCTATACCGTGAAAACCTCCAGTCCGAAAAACGGAGAGATCCCGATGAGATCTTTGCACCGTACAACGTAACTCGTCGCGCGAATTCCGAATATGTAAAAATCTTGAGGTATTCTTCTCCAGATTAAAACATCAAACTTTGATATGAAGTATCGGGCGGTGAGAAGTGTCCTCTGCAGAGAAGTATCCTAGAGCACGTGAGAAGTGTCCTAGAGTAAGATCTGTCCGAATAAGAAGTGTCCGGACTAATTATTATGTAACATCTATTATGTAAATTATGTCCGTCTACAAACTGAAGAAGACAACGAATGCCAGTGCATACCGCGAATAAGTTATAAAAGGAAGTGGATGAACCGCTCTCTTTCTAAAATAACCGCCGATCTAAATATCTTTAATTATATTTAGTAATTTTACAACCGCCTTCTTAGTTACTAGAGACTCAGATAGAATTCATTTTTGAAGGAATCAAAGAAGATACCACGACCGGTATCGGCCTTTCTCAAGGGTCTCGTCGGGTGGTTTCCTTCGAGAAAGACAGAGTTAAGGCACGACAAGCAACACAAACTCCGTCCACGCCGTATGAGGGTGTTACTATTCCTTGTTCTTATCGAACAAAGAACGATAACTGGGTGCGATAGATGGGTGACCACTTCTGAAGATCAAACCATGCATTATTATGGAATTTGTCACTACAAAGTAGAGAATTGTGACGTATTGTCTTTCTCTATTGTGTCAAAACTACGATTAGTAAGAAGATGGGTGACCACTTTCCAGGCGGTTGTAAAATTACTAAATATAATTAAATTTAAGTCGAGTTTCATATATAGATTTATTCTAAATATCTTTGTTCCAACCTCTGTGAATCGCAGTTTTATACAAAAACTAACCGCCTTCAACTGCGGATAAATTGAAAGGGAGCGATTCTAGCCAATTTAGCATACACATAGATCTCTGCAGTTTTCGCCAAAATATAACCGCTGCTATACCCCAATAATGCAAAAAAAATATCAAAAATGCACCCGCGATTTTTATGCGAGAGACCGGTTATTGTGTCGCAAACCGTCGGTTTTCACCAGTTTTTCTGTTTGAAAATGAACCGGTGTGACCGGTTTTTCCTATTGATTTTCGTGTTTAACGTTTAAGCCAAAACAAATATCTAAAGTTCAAAAATGACTTTTTTTCATAAAAAAAACTTTTTTTTTAATTTCAGTATTTTGAGCCATCAGAGAACAGTTTTTTTGACTGTCAGCTTTCTAGAAAGCTGACAGAAAGCGTCCTTTTTCAAGTCAAGCCATTTGGAGGATTTGATAATATACTTCTTGGGATGCTGATGGTACATTTCAAAAAATTATTATTTCTCTGGGCTTTTTTATGTTTTATTCACCGACTGACTGTCTTTTTCTTGATCAAGTGAACTGATTTTTCATCTATAACTCTCTACAGTTAATAGTTTGCGCTTATATATGCTTGATCTATCACTTTTGGTCCCAGTTTTAAAAAATTACTTTTATTTTAACCTGAGATGAAAAAACTCAACTTTATAAATTTATTTTATTATTTAGGGTGTAAGATTAATTCAAAATCAAAACTTGAATTAGTCTTTATTTTCATTGAGGATAGAAGACTCCTTTCGCTATCAAAAAAATAGACAATCTACTCCAAGATGTAATGCTTTTTCGGATCCATCTTATTTTTCTTTCCATGTTGAGTGAGAAAGGGCGAGTGTTTATTTTTTTCAACTACACGTGCACATAGAACTGAATACTGTTTGTTTTTTCGATGACCCAAAGTGTACATACGGATCTATGGCACAGTATTATGGCATGGCATTGATGAACATTTACATGGATTAAATTTGCATATAATAAATATCGCCAATGTACTAATACAAAAAATATAAATTTTTTGAAGAAACAAAACGAAGAAAACTAACATCATTGTCATAAGCTACTAACTAACCCGTTCCGTCGAGCATCCATTTTTCTTTCAAATACATCACGTAATAAATATAATTTTAGTATACTTAAATCGGAAACCGGACCGTCGATTGGCTACAAATAATAAATATAATTTTTTTCATACTTATTGAGAAAGCTGTCTGTTCGTTTTATTTACCATCAGGAAATTATTAATAACCGGTTTTGTATTTTCATTTTGTAATGATGATGAAAAATCAAGTGTTGGTGGTTGAACATCGATAAGGCCATGAGTATGAATATCAAAAACAGATGGATGATCGACTATACTACTTATTAATGGCATTATTGCACCACTAATCATCAATGGTTACATACCTTCTAACTCATCGTACACTGGTAACTCATGCATATGCTCATCAACCAGTATTGGAATACCGTAAATACAAGCTAAAATATTGAGAAAAGTTGTTAGATTTTCTTTGAATATCAATTGTCTATTGTTTCATGAAAATCTTGTTTCAGTTCACTCCATCAAGTGAAGACAACTAGTACAACAGATGTATTATACGCGTCAACAATCGGCTCTTGAAGAACAAATTTAAAACATTACGGTGAAAAAAATAGAGAAACGAAATTGGAGATGAAATTTTTGTTTTGATAAATTTTATAGTGCGCGTTTGAGAAATCAAATATTCTATAATGTATCGAGATGTAGAGTAATATGCATGCTTTCATTATTCTTTGCAACAGTGTTTTACTCCGATATTATTAATGGAAAGCTACGACATCTCTATTTTCCAGTTAACTATACAAGGCACTTATATAGTGTTCTACAAATCTTTCCAGGTGTCAAACAGCCATCATATAAGTTTACTATTTCAATCTTATGTGGTCTAAAGAAAAGTGTAAGCATTCACGTGAATAAATCTGCTACAAAAGTAAATGTTGTCATATGCAGCGTTACACGTATTACTATCCAAATAGTCCTCGAATTTAGCAAACACTTGTCACAAACACAATATTCAGCAGCCAGGGGCGGCGGAATGGTTTGAAAGCTGTGGGGCGGATTTTTTTTCCTGTAAAATCAACAAAAACTATCAGAATATTTTTACATTATCTCACAACCTAGTGCCTAATGCCTCTAGAGCTGTGGGGGCGACGCCCCCATTGCCCCTATGATTCCACCGCCTCTGATTCAGCAACAGTACATTATTTTTATCATAACACGGTACAAATGAAATCTGTATTTACGTGTTTGCCGTTCAATAAATACAACTACAAACATTGCCATCACATTACAGATGTACATTCTCTCTTTCAAGTAATTGTTCATGAGTAATTGAACATCGAGTAGCAATCAAACAAACACAAATATCAATCAGACGGAAGAAAAAAAGAAAAATAAGTCTTTTTAAACTTTAATGAAAAAAAAACAACCATTAAAAGAAAAACATAAAATTCTGTTAATACCGACGAGAAAAAACATAGACGCGTACTATATGTACGTGGTCACTCTACGCATTGATTTAATTAGAGAGGTATGTCAATAGTCTTAATGTTGCCATCAGGAGAGTATTCATATGTAATTAAAACAAAGTCGAACTTTTCTTAGATATTTTTGGGATGGTTACATATTTGAATGACAGGTATCATTAAATTTCGAAGAGTATCTGACAAAAAATATCTGTCTCGTCCGCCATTGATTGGATCTTGCCAAAAATCTTCAGGAAATGTTGACCATGTCAAAGTATGGTAATGAAATTTTCTATTTTGGTTCCACTTATTATCGTTCACGAAATGCCACCAAATTACTGGTAATTACTTGTCAAAGTAAATGAAATTACTTGCCAGATACTCTCGATTTACTTACTAGATCTCTCACAGGTACTCACAGGGTACTTGAGGAAGTACTTGGCAGGAGGATAAAGTAGTTTAAGTACTTGATTTACTTGCAAAAAATTTATTCCTCAAAATTCTGAGTGCAGCTAGATACCGTTGATTATAGAAGTGTCCAATAAGATTGGACGGAGTTGTGAAATGTTAGATTTTGAGAAGAAACACATACCCTACAAATTAGTATCATTGAAATTCTTTTACTTTCAGTATTTTGCGAAATATCGGAATGTCAGAAAAATCAGTTTTTTTCTGAGATGACAGAAAACTTTTTCTTAAGGCCCAGCCCCCAATCAAAAAAAGGTTATTTTGGTGAAATTTATCGATTTTTTTTAAAATAGCGCATTTGATAGAACATCACGTCCGCTATCGAATGCACTATAGTTTCTTAATTTTACGATAGGTTTTAAGGGTGTCACACAGGTTTTTCTGAAAACCTCTACCGGAAAAGACGACATTTTTTCGTTATTTTGCGTTTTTCTCAAAATGAGATACGTTTTCGTGCGTCCCAAATTTCTTCGCCATTTTGAAAGCTAGAAAGCTCGGATTAATTAAATTAAACGATTACGAAATTAAAAAATTGGCCTCTGTTAAGTTGTAGCCCTACATCTTAGCTACATTTTAAAACCAATCCGAGCTCTCTAACGTTAAAAATGGCAGAGAAATCTGGGACGGACGAAGATCCATTTTTGAACCTTAATTGTGAGCTAACACTTGATAGGTTTAATATTTCGAGCTGAAATTTTTACTGTGAGGTCATCATACCTAGATACACCATCTCTGAAAGTTTCATTAAGATCGAATGCTCGTAAGCAGAAATGGATTTTTGGGTGGGGGTTGGGCCTTAAACCCTCAGAAATCTTTGATATTGACAAAAACAGTAAAGATTCTTAGAGTAAACGCCTTAGACTATTCAATCATTTACTTCGCTCAATATCGGCCTCTTATATAAAGAAATTGTATTTCGAGTGGAAGATGAGCTTTACTAAAATTAACGATGTCAACACTTCTCATTTTTTCATGTCAGAAACGTAATCTATAGTACAAAAACTTAATAGATTGCGCATAGTGTGTAAGCATAATCCACATTCATGTTTGATTCAAATAGAAAATTTGTATCGTATGTTGGAATTAGTTGTAGAGCATAGACCGATGATGAATATTGAGGTGTACTATTCACGATTGCTGAATTCCAATTTGGTAATGTAGGAAATAAATTATTCAAATAGCCACTTCCACTTGCATTATACTGAATATTCATCCACATTCGATAAGGTGGATATGTTGCACTTATTTTGGCAATATCTGCTTGCACGATCGGTGAAATAAGTAACCATCCATTGGTTAAACAAAGTTGTTGACTAGTGGAAAATGTTGACAATGTGTTAGGAGTCATCATTCGTGTACAAACATATTGACTTTGAAATTGAATTAATACATAACCAGTGACAATTTCACATGGAGTACATCGACTATAGGTCAAAGATGACCAATAGTATAATGGCAGTTGACAACCACATAGACCAGCTAGAAACAAAGAGCAGTGAACACTATATTACTTTTGGATTAATAGTCAAATAACCTACCAATACATGTTAAACTGAGTGTTTGTGAACATTGACTTGATGATACGCACGTTGAATTGTACGCTAGTTGGTTTACACATTGAGTTCCATTCCATATTTGACCACTATAACAATCACATGTGAATAATTTTGATGTTTCTGGGCAATCACAAGCAACTATCGCAGTGGATATTCGACAAAATAATCCTTTTGTTACATCACATGTCGAATCTTGTGAACAATATCCTTGATAAGATGAAACTGATTGACAATTGGCACCATTCCAAAATGTATTCGTAGAACATACACAAACTAATAATATTGGACTACAAATCAAACTCATTGAAGGAGAGCAGAGAGGATTAACACCTGGAGTACATGTAACATTGTAGATAAGGTAAGCTAAAATAGATGGGAATATATTAGTTTATGCTATGCATATTAGTTATGCATACGTTTGCATCCTGTTATTGTATAATATTGATTTTGTTGACATTGACATGTTCCTTGGACACACAAGAGATGGAGTTTTGAGTCACATTGCTCATGTCTTGTACATCCAGTTTTATTAACATTCATTTGTGTTTGACATTTCTTACCATCATAGTATTGATTCGTGTTACATTGACATACATTTGATAAGCAGGTTAATCCGGCTGACGTAGAACATTGAGCTTTTACACATGTTTGACCATAACCAACTTGGCGAAATCGAATGAGACCCACAATGAGCCATGGCAGAGCTAATGAAAGACCAACAATGATGAAAAATACAATGACAGTACGTTTGCGATAAGCTGCAAAATGCTTTAGAAAATATTGAAAACGCTGAAGATAAACGTTTTTCGACTTTTTGATTAGTGGAGGTAAAGAAACTGTGTGACGATGGATGAGTGATGTTTGTGAAAATCCACTGAATACTGATGGAGCTTGCAAAGCTTGATCCGATCCCCAGTCGATGAGTAATCCTGATGAATATTGTGGCTCTAAATAAATATTTGATGGTGAAAACGCACGATGCTCGTTCATCATGAAAAGCGAAAAATAAAATACAAAAATCCTGCAATTTTTTAATAAAATTTTTTGAAGGCTTCATTTTAATTTCTTTTTTCTTTTTCATTGTATTCATCATGCGCTCAACCATCTATAGTGAATAAGTTTCGCTAGTTTCTAGATAGCTTTCAACCATGCATTTTCGTGACCCGAATAGGATTCGAATAGGATCCTAACAAGAATATGCAATAATTGAATCCTGAATAAAAGTTTAAGCACTTTCTGTCAATTTCCTACCAGAATCCTAACTTTAAGATCGTATAAGATTCTAGCAGGAAATGGTAGGATCTTATCTTGGGTAACTTTTTCGCCTTGTGTAAGATAAAAATCATCATATTTTCGTCACATATTCTTTCTTTGTTGAAAACTCAATCCTGGTTGAAACTCCTTACACTCCTAAGGAATCCTGTCACAGGATTCTATAAAGGATCATGCGGGACTTTTGAGAGACTCCTCATGACTCCCGTGAGGCTTCTGTGGGATCAGAGTGCTCAAAGTCCCACATAACTCCCTACGGGAGCCCATGATAGGAGTCCTGAGGGAGTTTTGTCAGGAGCTTCAGTCTGGGAATCTTCTTCCTCTTGTATTTAGCTGGTTTTTCTTTGAAACCTACTCTACTGTTTGATTTTTTAGCTGTCAGTTTTACTCATATGCATGCATATTCTACGCATCGCCTCCTACAGTATGAATTTATCGGTTTGCTGCCATGTATGCCCTCTCTCAATTAAAATATTATAAATTTTATAGTCATATTTTCGAAAATTGAACAATATATTTTCTAATTCACAATGTAAACAAATTCACTTATTTTTTACGTACTATTATGACATCAGTTCACACTAAACGATTGATATGATAATGAATAGAAAAAAAATTTACCATAATAAGTATAGTAAAATGTAAAATGTATCTCTATGCTCTTTACCAGAGAATTTTGAAACTTCTGCCACTATATTTATGAAGAAATTTCAAATGATGAAAAAATGAATAAGAAATTCGTGTCAATAAAAATCAACTGCATCATCCGGTATCTGATTTGACGATACATTTTTAAGCCGTAGACAAACTTTTTCTGATACTGTTTTTTAATTTTTTATTAAATAGTTCAACTGGAAATAATGAAAGAGAACACTTTCGAAGTCAGGATTCTAGTGAGAAAAAATAAATGTGCATACGGTTTCAATCAAGAATAATCGCTGCACCTTTTTAGATTTTTCCAATAAGCAAAACATCATACATTTTGACACAGCGTTTTAAGTCCTCTACATCAACTTTAGCTATGGACTAAAACTGAAATTTTTATCAGTAAAATAGAGAATCTTGTGTTCAAAAAAATGCTATTCGTTTAAAAATTCCACTAGTTACCATTCATACTAAATTTTGATATAACTATAGTTAATAGGAGGGAAAAAATAGTTTTATGACTATTATTATGAGATTGATGTATTTTATTGCCAACATGAAACTTTCAAAAACACTTCTAAGAGCCGAAACTCATTTTTCTTTTTTCAAATTATTTCCATAATTTAAATAGAAATAAAAAAAGCGTATTTTTTTTTGTTTTTTCTAATCGATATTGTCACACACTCTGAGAAATACAAACTAAATTTTTGAAAACTTAAAGTGAAGAAGAATATTAATATTCTAGTCTCATCAAAAACAATTTTTTATTCAAAATACTCAAGGAGGAAATTATGTGAAACTGAGGTGGGTAAGTGAAAACGTGTAAAAATATAGAAAAGAAAAATGTTCTAAATAATAACTTCCTTCAACGCCACAGTGATTCTAATACAGATAAAAGAGAAGAACGTCCGTACGTTAAAAATGTTTGCTGAATTTATTATATGTCTAAGTAAGTTTACAGATTTATATAAAAATTTAAGATATTTATATTTAAGATGATTTTAATCAAAATCATAGATTATTATTAGAGAAAGAATCGCATACTTTAAAGTTTATGTCTTTGAATCTAACGAGAAAACATGTAAATGTTCTACCAAAAGTAACTTGGAATCTAATTTTTTCAAGGATCATGTAGTTAGAAGGAAAGGTCTTTGTCGTGATATGGTTGTGAAAATTTCGAGTCTCTTCGTGTACTCCAAGAAGGCTTTCCAAGAAACTGCAAAATGCTAGAATTCATGGGAATTCGATTTTGTTGACAAAAGCGATGCCTCAGTTGCGAAAAGACTAAAAGTCCGCTCTATATTTGGATTACTGTATTTCCATTTAAAAACTATTTGGATTGATTTGTCAAATACGACGTAGAAAGACAATTCTAATCCACAACTTAGGTTTCATTTTTCCTTTTGTTTTACTTCTTTTAAAGTAACTGTAAAAAGACTAAAAACCGGTTTCTTTGGAGAGCCTTCTAAAAGTACACGAAGAGCACTCGAAATTTTCACAACCATATCACGACAAAACCTTTCCTTCTAACTACATGATCCTTGAAAGGATTAGATTCCAAGTTACTTTTGATAGGAGAAAATTTTCTGATATTAATTCCCTAAATGCAAAACATCGCTTTTTTTTTATGGCTATTGCCATCTTATGTGGCAATAGCCGTGTATCAACTGATAGTGCCCCCTTGAAATTACTCAAAGTCAAAAATGTTTTTTCAAAAATAAATAGAACATACTTTACTCCTTAAAATTGTTTACTGCCGTGAACCTGTACTCACAAAAAAAGGTGCCGTACTGAACTTAAAAAGGTTTTCGAGAATTGAAACCATTTCTAAACCTTTTTTAGGTTCTGTACATACAAGGCTTCGTACGGGAACTTTTTTCCCCGGCTTTTCAGAAAAGGTTCCGTAGAGGTTTTTCTCATACTGATTCTACGTATGGATTTTATATAGTTTATTTTTGTATATTTGTCTTGAATTTATTTATTTCTACTACCTAGCAATAAAAACAACCCAAAAAATGCAAGCATCACCAGAGACGAGCCACTTATGCAAAAAAACTTGTCCTTTGAGAATAAAATCATCTTGTAATAAAAATAGGCGTAAATATTAGGAAGTGCATCGTTCTTCTTTCGTATTTTTCAAAAATTCAAAATAAATGGGATATACTTTCGTAAAAACGAGTTGCAATAATTTTTAAAATGGCAGTTTTATAGAGAAAATATTTCTCTACAAGATGGTATACAGAAAGTGTTTTAGAAGTTTTTTGTTTCCTTTTAGAAAGCGTTTTCCTCAAATCTATGGTCGGTTATAACCGTGGTTTTTAACCGATATTACTCTCCATCAAAAACGCTTTTTGAAGAAATCAAGAAACTTTAAAATTAACTACTGTACACCATCTTGTAGAGAAATGTGTTCTCTACAAAACTGCCGTTTTCAAAAGATGTTGCAACTCGTTTTTATGAAAGTATATCCTATTTATTGTGAATTTTTGAAAAACAAACGATGCACTCCTAGTAAATATGAATTGTCTAAATAGAGCAAAAGAAAATATTATCAAAAAATTGGCTGACTTCGCATACTATAAAAACCTACCAACTACTACTAGAGTGCCTCGGGGTAATTCCGGTCAATGTCAGAAATCTTTTCAGTATTTTGCTCATAGCTAAGTCATTTTTAAACAGAAAAAAACGGTTTTGCACAGGTAGATAGATCTGACTCTTAGCTATCGACTGATGCAAAAATCATGTTAAAATTCATTAGAGATAATTAGTTCTGATCAATTTCCAGTCGGCTGGTATTAAATGACCGGA